AAAATCTACCTTTGCCTTAATTTATGGCTACTTCATGCAAAAAGAATTTTTTGAAACTGAATTATTCAGATAATTTTCTTACTTTTTCACTTCATTTTGCTTAAGGTCCTGGCCCCATTTTAACATCTGACTTCAACAGGATCTCTTGGGCATCTGCAGTCTGAGTTGATAACACAGTTTTTCTATCTTGAGAAACTGTGAAGCTTAGATTGGGCAGGACTGAATATAGTGTGTCATGTGATTCAGATCCCTGGGTGTTAAGCATCCTACCTTTGAAACTTGTTATGTTCTCAGCAGCATTCACCTGCACTCTCTTGATTTGAGCACCTTCTAGTTTATTCTTCACTATTGGCTTTTCTATTCAATTTAGTTCAGCCTAATGTTCTTCTGATTTTTTTCCCCTCTAAAGGGCAAGAAGTAATGCTCTAATTTAGAGGACTCAAGTACCATTTTTGCCCATTCTTCATCAGAGATTGCACTATTCAAGGTACTTTGCTTTTTTTTTTAGATGAATGCCCTAATTTGTTCCTGTTATACAGCGGAGAAATGTTAGTTCTATATTAAAAGGTCTCATCACCAGCCTCAGACACCTTGGAATATGGAATACAAAGAAAGTACCATTGAAAGAATAAAAGGGATTCTGACTTTAGGAATGAAAGCCCATAAAATGGAAGGTCAAAATTAGCTTTTTTGAATAGATAATCAGAGGGAAACTCTAAAGGTAACCGAAATCATATCTGTGTGTCCAAAGACAGCTGAACTTGAAATTGCAATTTACTAAATTTTTGCAAATAACTATATGAAGGAGTATTTGGGGGAAAAAGATGCTGATAAGCAAATGTAGTCAATGTTTAAGGTAGCCTTTGTAAACAGATAACTAAAGAAGATAACTAAAGAAGTTCAGAAGTTTACAAGTCATATGTTCAATTATTAAAACCTATTTTCTTTGTACCAAACTTACCATTAGGATGAAATAACTTTTTGTTTAGCATTAGAACATAGTGTGAAAATTAGACAGTGATTGACTACAAAGAAATTCAAATATGTTTTACTTGATAACTTGGGCTAGGTTTGTTTCATTAAATGTGGATAGGAACTAAGAAAATTCAGAGCTTTTCTCAGCAATTTCCAGTCTTAGAGGCAGATCACTGAGTGGCATTGAAGGATCAATTATATTGTCCTATCAGGGAAGAACACAAGGCAGAATAAAAATTTACTATTCTTTTTTATTTGTTTAATATATGTTTAGAAAGTGTGAGCTATTAAATTCTGATTTGTAATATTCATCAGAGTTTATTCCTCCCCCACTTTTTAAAATTAGAACATATTTGACACAAAGAAAAATGCACAGATCTTAAGTATGCACTATGATAAGTTCTGGCAAATGTAGACATCTATGTTAGCCATCTATCATGATTTAGAATATTTTCATCAGTCAAGAAAATTCTTATGTCCCTTTCCCAGTCAATCCTCCTCCCTAGCCCACAGATGCGATCACTGTTCTGATTTTATCACCAGAGTTTAGTTTGCTGTTCTAAAACTTTATATAAATGGAATCATGTGGTAGACTCTTTTGTGTCTGGTTTCATTCATGTGGTTGTGAATATCAGCTTGTGCATTCTTATTCTTGAGTAGTAGTTGTTGGAATATAATCTGATTGTGGATGGACATTTAGCAAAATATTTTTGGCTCTAATGATTACAGCTGCTGTGGTCATTGCTATTAATATATCTATCTTGGTTGTGGATATCAGCTTTGTTTATTTGTTTTTTTGGCTATTTTGTGTATTGTAGCTTAGCATTATTTCTTTTGGGTAAATAGCTAGGAGTGAAATTGCTGTGTCAAAGGGTAATTGTATCTTTAACTTTATAAACAACTTCCATGTAATTTTCTAATGTTGTTGTACCATTTTTTGTATCTTCTTTTTACTTTCTTTTTTGTTTTTGGCATCTCTGGGTGGGCTTGAATGTTGTACTATTTTTTATGTCTACCAGCTATGTATAAGAGCTCCATTTCCTCTTCACCCTTGCCAACATTTGGGGTATTCAATATTTTAATAGTTATTCTTGTAAGTATATGAGGGATATCTTACTGCATTGAATTTACTTTTCCCTGATGTCGAATAATATTCAGGATTTATTGACAGCTGATTGTACATTTTTGAATTTCTCGTAGTAAAGTTTTTATTTCAGTATTTATCCATTATTACTTTTTTGTCTTTAATTATTTAAGTTGATGAAATTCTTTATATATTCTAGATAAGGGTTATTTTACAAATATATGTTTTCCAAATATTTTATTCAATGACTTACCATTCATCTTGGTGAATGGTTTATTTTGATGAGCAGAAGTTTTTAATTTTGGCAAAACCCATTCCATCTATTGTTTTCTTTTATGGATAGTGTGTTTTCTGTATTTGGTATTAAAAAACTTTGCATACCTGAAGTCATGAGAATATTTTTTTTTGTTTCTTTCCAGAGTTATTAGAATTTTAGCATTCATATTTACACCTGTAATTTCAGCTGAATGGATATTTATAAATAGTGTGAAATGGGGTTGCATCACTTTTTTCCCAGTATCATTTTGTTGTAAAGCTTTCTCTTTTCCATTAAATTGCTTTGGTACATATGTTGAAAGTCAAGTGTAGGTGTATTTCTAGACTTTTCATACCATTTCTTTTATCTGTTTGTCTAGTCTTAGTCCAATACCACATTGATTTGATTACTATAGCTTTGTTTTAGTAAACATTGATAATCAGGTTTTATAACTCCTCTAATTTGTTCTTCTTTTTTTAAGATTGATTATTTTTCCTCTAAGTTCTTTGCATTTGCATGTAAATTTTAGAAACAGTTTGTCAATTATGTAAAAAAGCCTTCTGGGCTGATTGTGATGACAACATATCTATAGATAAATTGAAGGAAAATCGCCATCATAAAAATACTAAGTCTTCTCATTCATGGCATAGCTCTTCATTTAATTTCACCTTTATTTTTTTTCAGCACAGTTTTGTAAATTTAATATTGAAATCTTGTACAACTTGCATTGAATTTATTTCTCTCTATATGTGCATAAATTTACTCTTGGTTATTCAAAATATTTTTAATGTTTTATTTTCCAATTTTTACTAGTGTACAGAAATAGAATTTATTTAAAAATATTGACATATCCCATGATATTATTAAATGTATTAGTTCTAGTGTTTTTAAAATATTCTACCTAGAATTTGCTGTGTAAGCAATCATATTGTCTGTGAATAATGAGAAGTTTGCTGTTTCCTTTTTGAACCTTATGCTTTTATTGCTGGCCTTTATTGCACTGTGAGCTTATTATTGAATAGATAAGTAGTATGAGTAAATATCTTAGCCTTTTCACAATCTTAGGAGGAACATGTTCATCATTTTGCCGTTAAGTGTGATTCTAACTGTAGATTTTTCATAGATGTTCTTTATATGACTGCAGAAATTTCCCTTCTGTTCTTGAGAGTCTTAATTATTAAGTGTTGTATACTATTAAATAATTTTTCTGTATCAAATAAGCATATATATTTTTTCCTTTGCTCTATTACTATGGTACATTATATTGATTATTATTATTATTATTTTGTATTTTTAACTAACTTTGTACTTCTGAAATCAACCTCACTTGGTGTATGATGTTATCCTTTTTATATGCTGCTGAATTTTATTTACTAATATTTTATTAAGATTTTCCCATAATGTATTTGTCAGGTTCTGGCATCAGGCTTATTAGCTGTGAAGTACTTTTTCCTTCTCTGTATTTTGAAAGAGTTGAAATGTAATAGTGGTATTATTTCTTCATTAAGTGTCTTATAGAATTCACCTGTTAAACCTTTATGACTTGACATTTTCATTGTAGAAATGCTTTGATTCCAAAACCATTTTCTGCAACAAATATAAAAATGTACAGATTTTCTATTTCTTCCTGTATCTGTTTTAATAATTTGTAATTTGAAAATTTTTGTCTTTCAAAGAATTTGTTCATCTCTAATCTCAAATTCATTGACATAAATTTGTTTATAATAGTTCCTTATCTCTTTAATATCTGTAAGAATAATGAAGGCCCCTTATCATTTCTATAATTAATAATTCATTTTTTCTTTTTGTGTCAGTTTAGTAAAGGGCTTATCAGTTTTATTAATCACTTCAAAACAACCTATTGTTTTTATGTATTTTTTCTCTGTACTTTCTCCACTATTTTGATTTCAGCCATTTTCTTTATTATTTACTTCATTTTTTTTCTACTTTGAGTTGAATTTGCTCTTCTTTTCACAGCTTCTCAAGTTGGAAACTTTTGATTTATAATATTTATTACTTTGCAATACATTTTCTATAAAATTTCTTTCCTCAGATTTTCTTTTTTTTAGGTTATTATTCATTTGAAAAAATCTTTTATCTTTAGATTATTTTCTTTGATTCATGGATTGTTTAGGAGTATTTTTTTAATTTCTAAATATCTGGAAAATTTTCAGGTATACTTTCATTATTAATTTTGACTTTAATCCCATTGGGTCAAAGAATATGCTCCATGATTTCAATCCTTTAAAAATATTAAGATTTAGTTTACTGCCAGCTTATGGTCTATGTTGGTGAATTTTTGATGCAGACTGAAAAGAATGTGCGTGGATTATGTATCAATAGATGACCTCTGGAATGTTAGGTCAAATTGATTGGTAATGTTTTTCAAGTATTGTGGGGCGCGGTGACAACGCCATTACAAGATGGCGCCGATTTCCGGTGGCCCGCCTGTAGTAAACAAGTTCAGCGCATGCGCAGAGTAAGTCCTGGCCTGTTCTATAAGTATGCATATGAAGGATCTTAGCTTGGCCTATCAGTAATAACCCTCGCGCGCTTTTAACCTATCCCCATCACTTCCCTCCTTCCTTAGAGTATATAAGTGTGTGAGAGCTTGTGCTCAGGGTCTTCCGCATCATGCAAGTTTAAAGGGAACCCCATTAAAGCACGGTCAGAAGAACTCCTATTGCCGCGTCTTCCTTGCTGGCGAGGCGGGCGCGACAAAGTATTATATCCTTACTAACTTTTTTGTCTACTTATTCTATCAGTTAATGACAACGGCATATTAAAATCTCTAATTATAATTCTGAATTTATCTGTTTTTCTTTTAGTTTTTTGAGGTTTTTGTTCTATGTATTTTCAAGCACTATTATTAGTGTTATTAGGGTGGTTTTGTTTTATGGTAAATATACCCTTTTATCATTATAAAATATCATTTTTACTTTTGATAATATTTTTTGTCTTGATCTTTATTTGCCTAATAAGTTACTCCAGCTTTCTTATGCTTATAGACTTGTGGTATATCTTCTTTAATTCTTTGATTTTCAGTATATCTGTGTCTGTATATTTAAAGTAATTTAGTTATTAAGAGCATATATTTGAATAACTTTTGAAAACTACTATGACAATTTCTGACTCTTTAATTGGTTTCATACAATTACTCTAATTTTACCATGTATTAACTTCAATTTAGTATGGTTGGATTTAAGTGTCCTATCATTTTTTCTACTTTGTCTCATTCACTCTTTATTACCTTTTTCCTATTTTTCTTTTTTTTTAATTAAAAAAAATTTTTGTACTCCATTTTATACTCTGAATTGGTAATAATTGTCTGAATTTTTTTTTACAAGCTCCTTTAAGGGTTCCAATATGCACACATCACTTATCAAATACTACTACTCTGAATTAATAGTACATCATTTTAAGTATAAAAAACTCATAATATTATATTTCTATTTACCTGACTTCTGTTCTTTGTGCTGTTGTTGACCCACATTTGCTTTTATATATGCTGTAATCCTCATACCATATAACTTTTTAAATTTTGAATTATCTATTGTTTTTTTTTAAAGAAATAAGGAGATGAGGAAAAATACTTTTACATTTGCCACATTTTTACCATTCTGACATTCTTCATCTTATTATAACTTTTCTTCTTCAAACTGAATAACTTCCATTTTCATTTTTGTAGTACAGATCTGCTCTGTTTTTATCAATTTTCTCAACTTGTGCTTATCTGAAAATGTTTTAATTTTGATTATGTTTTAGAAATATATTTTCACTGGATATAGAATTCTATGTTGAGAGACTTTTCTCCCAAGTACTTTAAAGATTTCTTCCTTTGTCTTTGACTTGCATTGTTTCCAATGAGAAGTCAACTGTTATTGTTGCCTCCCTATTTATAATATATTCTTTTTCTCAATCTATGTGCTGAAGAGATCCTTTTGGCATTGAGAAATTACCTCTTTAGAATTATGAAATACTCTTTAGTTTATATATGTGATTTTTATAAAAATAACTATTATTTGCCTAGGTGTAGTTATTTTTTGGTTATTATACTCATGGTGTATTGAACTTCCTGGATTTGTGGGTTCAGGTTTTTCCACCATTTGGGCAATTTCAGCCACTATTTTTTGATATATTTTTCTGCATCAATATCTTTTTCATCTTTTTCTGGTATTTTAATTACATGTGTATTGGGTATGTTGTTTTGCAAGTCCAATATAATTGTAGCTGTGTCTATCATTCCTTGTAATTTTTTTGTTAGTTTTTTTTTATGTATTTTGAATATATGTTCATAGGAGCACAATATTTTAGCATTTTGCTATGATCATGTCTGCCACACTCCTTGGCTTTCGGATCAACACTGTTTGCTATATATAACCAGTGAGTCCTGATTGGGGAAAAAAAACAACGACACTGTAATTGAAGTCAAAACATTTTTTTTTATTTTAGCATATTATGGGGGTACAAATGTTAAGGTCATATATATTGCCCATGGCCCCCCTCCCCCCTTGAGTAAGAGCTTCAAGTGTGTCCATCCCCCAAACGTTGCACGTCTTACTCGTTTGGTTGTATATACCCATCCCCTCCTCCCCCTTCCCACCCTCCAGACACCCCATTAATGTCCCTATAAGTCCACCTCGTATATGTCCACTTAGGTGTTGATCCATTAATACCAATTTGCTGGTGAGTACATGTGGTGCTTGTTTTTCCATTCTTGAGATACTTCACTTAGTAGAATGGGTTCCAGCTGTATCCAGGAATATACAAGAGGTGCTATATCACCATTGTTTCTTAAAGCTGAGTAGTACTCCATGGTATACATATACCACATTTTATTAATCCACTCATGAATTGATGGGCACTTGGGTTGATTTAACTTCAAATTGTTTCACTGGATCCCAGATTTCTTACCCCTAGAGTGCAGCAGAAGCATGTGACCAGTTATCACAGCTATTTTGATCGCTGTTCACTTAGAAACTTGAAGCTATCACATATTTGATGTTGTGTATTACTGTTTGCCACCCAACTCCATCTCTTACTGTGCCTGACTTACTGGTTAAACACTCTAAAATATTATATTTACCTAATTAAATCTCCAAATCCTCACGTTTTGGGGGCAGTATATATTCAAGTCCTAAACACTTTCTTTGTGATACTGTGGGGTAAATATCAAATTGAAGTAGTTCTCCCCGTTTCCCATTCTACTTGGTCTCATTTATGTCATTGCCTGTATTACTAAGTTCTCATCATAAATACATGACTGAAATATGAGAATATTTTTTTCTTATCCTTTCAGTCAGTTTCTAAAAAGAATATTCTATCCTTGCTATCTCTAAGTTATTACTCCTATCTCTAATTTCTTGTATTTCTCAAGGTTCAAGTATTTAGCCTTCTACATTTTTTCTTCTCTTCCTTAGAGATGTTATTTTTGCAACACTTGCTATCACTTATAAGCACTTATGTCTATACTTTCTGAGTTTCTACCACATATAATTATATATCTACTGATTTTAGACCTAAGGGTTTTGTCATTATGTACATTCTAATCTGTGTAAAACTGAACTCTTGCTGTTCTTATTGACTTTCTCTCCTCTATATCTATTTTTATCTATATCACAATTTAAGGTGTTCACTTTTAGAAACTTAGATTGCTAATTAATTTCTCCCTTTTTCTTGTTTCTTATGGCTTTTCTGAGTTATTATTAATAACACATACTTTTATTCTCTGCTTTGTTCTTCATGACTGGATTATCCTAATTCTCTATTCAAATAAAGTACAAATTACTCATCTGAGTTCCAAATTATTCTCTTAAGTTGATTTCTCATTTTTTCATTACATCAATCCTTGAATCCTGTTGGACATTTCTACTAAGTATCTTTTGATAATTCATTACATTTAAATAATTTCAGTCTATTCCATTGAACTCTATCTCCTATAAATTTATAGAAATTATAATCTATTCTCTTGCCACAATTTACCATATATTACTTTCTTGATTTTAAAAATCATATCGTTTTATTTAGTTTCTATGTTTTTGTTAATATTTATGTATATAATGTCATCTAAGCTATATGCTCAATGGTGATGATTATGCTTTGTCTTTTTATTTTTATTTTTGAGCTCTCAGACGTTAAAACACATAACTGATACAGGGTATTTTCTCAAGCAATATTTGTTGATTGAATTAAAAAGCTAATGAACTTAAAATTTAACATTTTTTTCCTGTATAAAGAGTTATTGGTGACCCAAAAGATGACTATGCTTATATATGACTGTGACCATTCACCTTGAGCCAAAATTTCTGCCTTTTATTTAATACAGACTGTTTACTAAAGATCCCAGAGGTAAGTAAGTGGTTAGGAAACTCAAAAATATCAGCAACCTTAATGAACCTGCACAAATCTGACTGATTCTTTAGATTATATAGGAATAAAATATCAGATATAGAATTTCAGTGGAAAAGATAGCTAACAGAAATGCTGGTTGTTCTTGATTTCTCTATCTTGGTTTATATACGTTAATAAGTATTTTCATAGTAATCAGCTGGGCCCTTCAATTTTATGCACCAGTTCTCACTATTCCTTGTCAATCTCTAAAAAAGATAATCTGCTATATAAGGACATTTCCATCCTTCTTCCACCAAGAGAAACCTCTGAGTTGATGGTAATTGATTCAGGTTCACTTCGCTAAGAAAGCCGCTCATTGGCTAGAAGTCATTGAGGGTCACAATTTACCTCATGTTTAACATCTGATCCAGGCTTAACTGTAGTGTATTTAAGGTCAAAGAGGGTCTTTTCATGATAAGTTGTAAGGAATAGTTTGGCTTACTGCGGTGGAAAATGATAGGGGATATTCAGGATATATAAATTCCCCTTCCTTTCTCTAGAGGAGGCTTTCCCTCCCAAGTCACTGCAGCTTGTTCAGTGTACCCAGTGGTTGTGTTGTGAGATCGAAAGAAATCTGTTATCTTGCATCTCAAAATAGCTTGAACACATATAAAAAAATTTTTTAAAGTCAAATTGTTGGGATTATTAATCAAATTCAATAAGTAAAACAAAATGTATGTTTACATTTACTCAGGATTAGCAATTATTTTCTAGGTCTTATGATGAGTCACTCATATTTTAGAAAACTATGCAAGGCAAAGTGGTTATGAATTTTTTAAAAAAGAAGTAAAATATTATTTCTTCTGCTATTATGAATGATACCTAGTCTCTTTCCATCCTGAAAGAAATTAGTCAGAAAAGTCAAAATTAGTCATGACAATTATGTTCTTCAATCTTTAAATAATGCTCTTATTAAAATTTTCTTGCCCACAAGGAAAGAAAATCCTTGTAAATTACTCTAACTTCCACATGTAGTCTTGAAAAATGGCCAATTAATAAAAAAAGACCTTGAACTGGAAACATTGATAATTGATACAAAGTTAAAAATATCCTGACACTACATACATTTAGAATCACTGTTAGATACATGTTTTATTTTAGATTTTATCAAAGAAAATTTTTTTTCCTATTTGTACAAGATTTTAAGTTCAGAAATAATATTAAAAATAACGTGATGAGTATTCTTTTCTCAAAATATCATTTGTAAAAGAACCATAAATACAAATGTTAGATTTTTATACTAACAATATAACGATGTTTTGTGGCTCTATACAACTAATATAAAACAAATTTAGGTTAACTGACACTCTAAGTTTTGACTAAATTGTCAAAATTATTTAATAATTTTTCTCTATTACATGACTCTGCAGGTTTGCCTAGAAAAGCTTAAGTAGTAGGCACATTGGTGCCTCCAATTTGGAATCTGATGTAATATGGGCAACTTTATTAACTTTGTTCCTGTTCTCATCTATAAAACCATAGGATGGTAATAATACATAGTTACATAAATAAAATCATTAAATTAGATTTTAGAGAATGTAACTTTCTTATTCACTCTGCTATCTCACAGTGCTTGACACAATAGGTACTCAATATGTACATGTGGAGTGAATATGTGAAAATATGACTTTTCTGTTAATATTCAGAGATTAATCATTACTCAGAGATTAATCATGCAATTGGCATGATTATTGTTGTTATTGTCATTTACAGTTAAACTTGGGAGATGATGCTTTGGAGGGCAGAGGAAGAAAGAGAATATGTGCTTTTCTCTACACTGTGAATAGGACTGTTTTGTGATGTGATTTTATTCATGCACATCTCTCTGCAGAGGCATAATGTGTAGAAAGCAAAGCAGGAAACAGCTGGGAACAGTGGAGCAGTGACTCCAGCGACAATAGAGGCAAAGTTATCCCAACAGGATGGAAGGAACCCAAAAGGTGATTGTTAACAGAGAAATGTATATATATTTTTTTTACTTCTAGTACTAATTAGTAAGGGATGATCATAACAACATCTACCACCAAATCTTTTCACTTAATATTTTATTGGAGTAAGATTCACATAACGTAAAATTCACCATCTTAACCATTTTAAAGCATGCAATTCATTGATTTTTAGTGCATTCACAACTACCATCACTATCTAATTTTAGACTCTTTCCTTTACCCCAGAAAGAAACCCCATACCTGCTAGCAGTCATTCCCAACTCTACCCTCTCCTGACTCTCTGGCAATTATGTATTTTCAGTCGCTGTGGATATGCTTATTCTGGGTATTTCATATACATAGATTCATAGAATATGTGGCCTTTTGTGTCTGGCTCCTTTCACTTAGCATAATGCTTTCAAGTTTCATCCATATTGTACCATGTATTAGTACTTCATTCCTTTACATGGCTAAATAGTATTTTATTTTAGGAGTATATCTTGGTTAAATTTTATGTCCTTATTCTTGTTTTTGTCTATTACATTCTCATTTACTTTCTAAAAATTTAGATTAAATTCACCGAACTTAAATTTGACCATTTTAACCATTTTGAAGTGTTCAGTGATTTTTTAGTATATTTCCAATGTTGTGCACCATCACCACTGTCTCTATGGATTTTTCTAGTCTGGATTTTTTATATAAATGGAATCATACAATATACGGCCTTTGCATATGGCTCCTTCTTTCCCCTAGCATCATAATTTTGAAGTTCATTCATGTTGTAAGTATTGCTGTAGAGATTTTGAAATACACCATGAGAATTAGATATGACCCTAAGAAAATGTGAACAAAGAAGACAGCAATATGACTCTAAAATGAATGTGGAACACATGAAACAAAGTTAAATCATACTGAGAAAAAAAACCAAATAAATATTAATATAATTTCAAGATCACTGGAGTAATTGCCACTGAACTTTGAGTTGGCCAGATGACACCTTGAGTGATATGGATAGTTCTGGATACTGGTAGAAAGAAGTTCATTGATGACTGCAGGGTATTTAACATTACAGAACTGGTGAGGAAGGCCATGCAATTGAAGGAATTGTGGAGAAACCAGGGATGTGTAGTTAGCAGAAAAGACAAAGGGGCCATACAGTAATTGCTTTTAAATATCTCAAGGATTGACATTTCTGCCAGGTGGGGGTAGACTTTCTTTTGTCTCTGGGGGGAGGAATTCAGATCAGTGTGTAAATGTCATGGAAGCAAAATTTTTGACTCAATAATAGATATCTGAGATTTAGACATGCCTAAAACTGGATGAGCTACTTTTTGAAGTAGTGAATTCTGTAGCTGAAAATATGGATGATTGCCTCTCAAAGAAGTTATGGCAAGGAGTTTGGGCTGAGGCAGATGAGTAGGCTGCATAATCTCTGTAATTCCTTGTGACTCCTTAACGCCAATCCTGTAACATCCACTTATGCCGTTGCTGCTGAACTCTGGGCGAGGTTTGCAGTGATGCTTCATTTGAAAAGAGGAGAGCTGGCTTGTCTTAGTCAGTACTTGTCTTTAGTATCCCTTATTTCTGTTTGCAGCAAACTTGTATTAATAGTAACACTTTGTGCCTTGAGAAGGTCTACTCTTTCCTTGAGGTCCTGAGTTCATCACATTTTGTTTATCGTGTCCCTGCTCCACATCTGCTCTCAGAAAAGACCCTGCTATTAGTCATTTGCATCATAGTGTGAAATAGCATTATTTTTTTCTCTTAGGGTTATTTTTATCTTGATTCTTGTTAAAGAATAAAAATTTGTATTTCTTGCTAAAGGAATTTCAGGTGCCAGGTAGGGATGGGGACTTTATTGGACCATTTGAATAATGGTCTTTTATTACATAAAAAATCAGGGAGATTTTGTCGACATGTTCCTTTTCTGGTCATCATACAGGATGAACAAATATTATTTTATATTTTATCTAAATAGTAACAATAAATGAGGGAGAGCATATTTAAGTAGATCAAAAAGCATAGTAATTTCCAGTGTATTATATAGGAAAACTGAGCTTTATTTCTAATTAGATGTCATATTTTTAAATATTTAGATTTTCAAATATTCTTTCAGAAAATTTACTTCTCTATGCTTCTTAGTGAGTATATCTACTATAATTTTATAGAATGATATGGGAATGTGTTTACACCATAAAATGGGTAGAAAAGTTAGACATCAATTTGTAAATTATTTTGTCTGTAGTTTTAAAGAAATAGAAAAAGAGATGCAACAAATTGTTAGCAGTGGAAAATGTTAGGCAGCAGGATAATGTTTGATTTTTATTTCTTGTTTATATTCTTATTTTTCTAAAGTATCCAAAATGATCATACATTATTTTTATAATTAGAAAAGGAATCCTTAAAAGAACAGAAGCTCTATCTTCTTACTCTGGTACCATATTTGGACACTTCTATATTTCCTTCCTTTCTTCTACTACTTTGCCATTAGATATATTTTCTATCTTCCCCTTCTTTCCTGCCCTACCATCTAATTTTCCTCTTTACATTTATGGAAAGCCTCATTTCACTCAGATATTTGTAAATGAAGTTCACCTTGCCCATGTGGACAATCTTTCAGGCATGCTATGAGGCTGATCAGTGGTAAACATTGGGTGTGGGAATCTTTGTCATAAAAATGTCTTTTTGTGTACCTGATAAATAACGTAAGTGATGATCTTACCCCACTTTTCTCTCCATAGGACATGGAGATACAGGCATAGGCAGAGGCATGGACTTGGAAGGGGTTTCAAAGAGGCAGTATGGTGAAACAGGAGGAGCCCTGCCTGGCTGGTATGAGGTCTGCATGGTTTATTTTGCCCTGGAACCAGCACATGATTATGGGAAAATCATTTGCCATGGTTGCATCTCTGTTTCTTTGTTTTATAATGAAAAGTCTGGATCTTGAGGTCATTTCTGGACCTGATATTTTAAGGACCTATGTTCTAGAATGAATATTTTAAGAGTCTATAAATATTTCTCTGAGATTCCTCCAATGGGACTACTTGAGTACCGCCACAGAACTTACTGATTTTGAGACTTAAAATGAATAAAGTAGGATGTGGACATTTGACTACCATTATGCAAACAGATTGCCCTTTAGTTGATCTTTAGCTATCTTTAAAATTGGTTCCCTTAGAACTGTCTGCTGCGCGTGGGTGTGCATGATGGAACTAATGACATGAATTTGTCATACCTAGGATGAATAATATTTCTCTGGAATTCAGAGAACTCACATCAGGAGGACTGTGTGTGTTCACAGAGTAACTGCTGTTCTCCTTGGTGCTGATAGCTACTCATATTCTTGGAAGGAACATAGTTTCACTGACGGTTAAGTGCTGTAAAGAGACCTTTGCCAGAGACAGGGAACAGTGGCTATGGAGTGATTCTTTACTACAGTTTGAGAAAAGTGAGAATTTTAATTGAATGAATAGATATTCAGCAATTAGGTACATGTTAGTATTTTCTCAGTGCTTTATTAAGCACCTCAATTAGGGCCATCAGTATTCCTGTCACTGGAATAAGAATGCATACAAAATACTTATTTTAATTTTGGGTGTCCTATGTTGACAATTGTTACTAATTCTAATTTATTTATATTTTGCAAATTTCCCTAGGAATTCTAGTTAAAAAAATACTACTGTGACTTGATATTTTTTGGGATCTGTTTTTGCACTGGGCTAATTATTTTATATCCATTAACCCATTGAGTTCTCATAACGATGGTACCAGTTAGGCAAATATTACTGTCATCACTTAGCAATGGAGGGAATTAAAGAAGCTAGAGGAAGTGAAGTAATTTACCTAAACTCTTACAGAGGAGAACACTGTATTCCTAGCCAAAGACCTTTGAGTCCAGAACCCTAGTGATTAATCGTTAAAGTCCATCTGTCTCCCTAGCTTCTGTCAATGTGGTACCCTTATCTTAGATGTTTGATTGCATGCAATTATAGTAGAAGCTCACAACGTGACATTCTGCATCTCCAACTAATTTCAGTGTAGCTATGATTGTAGAGTGCCATTGCTAGTGTTGCTCATAAGGCCGCATCTCTGAGCAAAAGAAGGCTTCAACCCATAGGTAGTCAACTCAGAAATGCAGGGAAGATGATATTCCCAGGAGGAACCTTTAACCCAGGGTGTAGAAGTCAGTGGATGAGTTCTACAGCCTCCTCAGCTTCTGGAAGGACAGCTCTGAAGCATGCTAGTCATGGTTTATATGGAGGTCCCCAATGGGACTGAGCACTATTCATCCACAATGCTAACCAGCCCATTACAAGTACCCTGTTTCTCTGTTTCCCTGTTTCTCTCTTCCCACACCCTTGCTCTTTCCTTCCTGAGACTTTTCTCCGAATAAATGACTTGCATCCATGTCCTTGTCTCAGGCTGTGCTTTCCAAAGAATACAAACTAAGACAGTGTTATTATGTTTTATGGGTGTCTTGTTGTTAACTCTTGTAATATATATTCTAAGTAATAATCTCACTCTACTATTTCCACTTAGTTATGAGGACCTATCAATTTTTTCTTCAAAATGTCAATTTTCTATTCCCACAACCCACCTTGTAGCCCAGGCCTTTATCATTTTGTCCCTGAGGGATTATGTTAGGCTTCTAGTTAGCATACCCTCTTCTATCATCTAAGACTTCCTGCATACTGATGCCCAATAAATTTTCCTCCAGTGTTGGTTTCATCTGTCACTCCCCTGCTCAAAAACTTACAATTACTCTGAATAATTTATCATATCAAGTCTAAATCCTTCCCTCCAAGTTAAGATGCACTTTCTTCACAAAATTCTCCAACTCTGATAAGCTCTATTGATTTTCCATGTCTCTGAATTCTTATAACACTTATAATCTTGCCACAGAATTTAACACATATATATGATCTTGTGTTACTTACGTATTTTTATATGTTTTCTTAGCCCAATAAACTACAAGATCCTTGATGCCATAAACTATGCTTGCGTGGCTAATTTGCATTTTCTATCATTGAGCACAATTCTAGGCACAAAAGGACAAGTTAATACTTTTCAACTGGGTGACCATTCATTCTTAGAGACTTCCTGCAAAGGGGAAATTTGTATCTGATTTTGCAGATATATTTTCTAAAAAAGACAAAATTTGGGAGGCCTTTTGATTTGCCTAAATTCTCAGAGTGAGCAACAAATAAATGCCTGCTGTCTGAACTTGCAGTTCTAGAATATGACTGTTACTCTTCTAAGCGGCCAAAGGCAGTTTCAAAAGAGAACAAGATTTGTACGTGTTTTAAATCTAGAGCATTGTTAAGTATTTGACAAGAAGGCAGAGGGAGAAAGAAAAACAAACCCCTTCTCATGAGCCCCAAGGACTTTTACAGAAAATTATTTTTAGCTAGGATGTCACTATTATTTTGCCTAATTTTAAAGACATTTTTCAGTAAGATTAAGGAACCCCATCTTGATTAACATAAGAGATTCTGGAGAAGGAACGATTTCATATTCCTAAACATCTTCTCCGTATTCCCAAAGATACATTTCCTTTTGGTTTAATTTCCCCCCCAATTTAAGCTTTATTAGAAGTTTTTTTTTTTTTTTTGTGCAGAAGGACATAAAAAACACTTGTTTAAAACTGAATAATAATATTAAAGTGTGAAAGATTTTAGAACCCACCATATAATATACTAATTTAATATAGTCAAGGTAGGAGTGTGTGTGTGTTTTAAGAATGTAGATGGGTAAATACTTACATAAAGTTTCCAAAGCTTGAAACCAAAAGATCTATTTAATTCCCTTGGGAGTCTGTACAGGTATTTTTTCCAGGCTGGATTTTTATAATTACTTAAGTATGCTCCGTTGCAGAGGTCCTAATAGAAGCATCTAAATCTTACTGTGCAACCTCAGGGAACAAAGATATTCTCTTGAAAACTTGATTGCTTTTCTATGGAAGCAGTTAGCTTTGATTTATATCACTTCTGAAGGGAGCTTCACTGAGGCTTTGAGTAATCCAATAAGCATCATATAATATACTCCCCTTTACATCTCGTAGAGTTGCTGTGTATGGAGCTCTTTGTTTATGATTCAGGAAATGGGCTAAAAGCTTCCTTGGTTCATCTCTGCTCACAAACTTTGTTCTGGGGGAAGTAATGGCCTTTTGCATTTTAATAAGCAGTAAATCTCAAGTATCACAATGCGTCTCCAGCAACAAGCTATCTTTGGCAGTGTGAGCCTTTCCCTGTTTTTGAAGATAATGGTTATCTCGTCATTGGGTTTCCATTTGAAGACGCTGCACTGGAAGATGCTGCCCACATCTTTTTCTGAAAATAGTCTGAGCCTCCCTCATGAGTGCCTAAGAGGGATATGAAAAATTAAGAGAAGCTCTATGAATGGCCAGAAGTTTTATCAAAATTATGTAACCTCATCTAAAAAGACAATTGTATGCTATTCTATAACATTTCTCCTCTAAACATTGATTGCTTAAATATTTGTGGTTCATCTAACATTCAATGTAATGTCTTAGGTCCTAGAGATGATATGAAAATGAATATGATAAAATCCTGGCTTATAACTGCTTAAGAAAAATTTCCATATTAAGCGAATTTCATGGAGTGTGCTACAGTGGGCTCTTTTTGAGTTGCATGACCTGGATACCTTTCTAAGTGGATTCCTTGGAGAATTTATTTCTTTTAAGTAGAACTATCTCCAAAGAAGACCAGATACCTAAAAACCTGACTGCATAAACCTGTTCTGTTTGAAAAATGAACCATCAAACGAGGATGTAGTTTCTATACTTAGACATGTCTAATGGGAGTTCTCATAAGGATAGGGGAGTTTTTACCTTGGTCTTGGACTGTTTCTATATGAATTGACATACCTACAGCAGATTGATGGAAGGGTGTTGATTGTTCTAATCTCATCTGATCGATTGCTTAACAATCAATTAGGTTGTGGTAAATTTGATATCCTTGAGCAGATGTGTCCCTAAATTCCATTTTAATGACTAGCTCAGTTTCTTTATAGCAAAACTTTCTCTAATATTATGTGATTAAATATGCTTTTTAAAATTTTACTTCATGAACGTTTAGGCAGCTTATTACCATGCAATATGATGATGATTTAAAATACAGTTAAAATATTTACTGAGTATGATAATAAGGAAGGGTACATAAACAGGTATTTTCTAGACATATTAAAAGTATTACATGTTTCTCTTGGGTTCAATATCTTCATAAAACACACAGAATTTGGAACTTAAGAAATCTTTTAATTCCAGTCAGAATTGCTTCTTTAATAAATAAGATGGAGGCTCTTAGAAGCAAAGTGATTTGTCCAAAATAGGGGCAGAGCTGGAATATAAGCATTGGATTTCCAATTTAGTTCAATATGAGCTTACTGAATTCAATATTGTGTATATATTAGGTGCTTACATTTTGTTTCAGTGAGATGTTTTCTTCAAAATATTAATATATTTGAAATGATATATACTGTAAGTTTTAAATAGTAACACATATTGCCCTTGCCTCCCTTTCTCTACAAGTATTTATTGAATGCCTATTACTTGCCAGACACTAGTTTAGGTATAGGATATATAGTGGTGAACACGAGACAGAAGAGGTCCTGGTACAATAGAGACTAAATTCTTATAAGGAAGATAGACAACAAACAGAAAATGACAAAGAGAAGTGTGACACAGCCATAAATGCTGCTGTGTAGAAATTTAAATTGGGTGCTTATAAAGGGAGTACCTGAGTGGTGACTGTGGATTGAGTGTCCCGGGAAGATGACATTTACATTGTGATAAGGTTCAGGACATGAGACTC